CAGTTATTTTTAATGAGTTTCTGCATTTGTATTGTGCCAGCTATTCCTTGTCATGCTATTGGATTGTTAATGCAATAGGAGAGAAGCTATTAATCTTGGTAATAAAATGTTTGAACACAGAATATGCAAAGTTATGTGTAGCAGAAACATACAGAAGTTAATGGGCCAAATTTAGCACTGGCTTAATTCCACTCAAATCACTGGAAATAAGCCAGGTCTCAGTCTGAGTTAATGACTTTTGTACTATGCTAGTGAATTTCTGTCATACATCCGACTTGGTATAATTTATTGTATTTTAAACAACAAATGGCATGCCATTCTGAGTGCACTACTGGTTATTGTCTCAGCTATTCATGTAAAAGTCATTGAGATGATACTGAAGTGCATGTACATAGAGGCAAAGCAAACATCTGGTGAGATAGAAAAGTGTAATGTTTATTGAACTATCAATTACGATGAATAGGAACCAATATTAACCAAGAGTAACTACACTGATTCTGTGAAAAACTAATTTGTTAATGAAGTTAAAAAACAAAACCCACACAACTAAACCTTATAGAAATGTAGCTTAACTTTTAACAAACATGGCCAGTTTGTTAAAAACTAATGATCACATGCTCAACATTTACTGTGGCAAAGAGTGGCACATTATGGGAGCAATTTGCACAAAGTTGATTGGTAAGTTAAGAAATGGCAGTTTCTAAGGAGCAAAACTTCTGCTTATTTACTCAATAAACAGACATGAAAACATTTCAAGTGGACTAAACACTTAATGAACAATCACCTTTTGTGACAAGAGGTCTCTAGATTCTAGACAATAAAAGAAAATTTCCTGTCTATTCTGTTGGAGGGAAAAAATTATGTGATCTATTTTTTTCTTTCCTTAATTTTCAGTTTTTCCTTCTCTGGGCAACTTATTCCACTGTCTCACCACTCTAATAAAAAAATAAAGTTCTTCTTATATTTAATATAAATGTATTCTCTTTCTGTTTAAATGCATTGCCCCCGTCACTAAAAAATCTTTATCTATCTTTCTTATAATCCCCCTATAAGTATTCAAAGACTGAAATAAGGTCTTCCTGAAGACTTCTCTTCTCCAGGCTGAACAACTCCAATTATCTGAGCCTTTCTTCATAGTAGAGGTGCTCCAGCCCTGTGTTCATTTTTGTGTCCCTCCTTTGGACCTGCTGTAACATGTCTTTGTCTGACTTGTACTATGGATCCTGGAGCTGGGCACATTACTCCAGGTGACGTTTCATGAGGTGGAATAGAGGAAAATTGCCCTCCTTGACCTGCTGGCCACAGTTCTTTTATGCAGCCCAGGATACCATTGGCTTCTGAGCTGCAAGTGCACTTTGCTGACTTACACATAACTTATCTGCCAATATCCCCATGCCCTTCTCTGTAGGGTTACTCTTAATCAGTTCTTCACCTAGTCTGTATGGATATTCATAATTGTCTGACTCAAGGTCAGGACCTTGGAACTGGCCTTGTTGAACTTCATGAGGTTTACATCAGCCCACTCCTCAAACCTGTCAAGGATTCCTCTAGATGGCATCCTTTCCCTCAAGTGAATCAACTGCACCACTCAACTTGTGTCACCTGCAAATTTGCTGAGGGTGCCCTCCATTTCGCTATCTATGCCATTGATGAAAATATTTAATAGTATTGGTCCCAGTACACACCTTCGAGGGACACCTTTCACTACTGTTTTCCATTTGGACATTGAAACATTGCCTGTGTAACCCTTTGGATATAGCCATCCAACCAATTTCTTATCTAACAGTTCTTCAAAACCATATCTCCAATTTAGAGGCAAGAATTTTGTATGAACGGCCTTACAGAAGTTCAAGTAGATGACATTTGTAGCTCTTCCTGTGTCCAGGGATGCAGTCACTCCATTGTTGAAGGCCATGATTACTCAGGCATGATTTGCCCTTTGTGAAAATATCTTGGCTGTCTCTAATCACCTCCTTGTCTTCCATACATTTCAACGTGTCTTCCAGGATGATCTGTTCCATGATGTTACTGGGTCCAAAGGTGAGCCTTGCTGGTCAGCAGTTCCCGGGGTTCTCCTTATCATCCTTTTTAAAAATGGATGCAATATTTCATTTTCTCCAGTCACTGGGGACTTCACATGACAGCCATGACTTTTCAAAAGTCACTCAGCATGCTTTTATGCATCCTGGAGTTTTGCAAGCACACATATTCTAAAGGTGCTCATGGAATTTGAAGCAGAAAATGTGGGAACCATTGTTCTTTTACAATGTCTGTTAGATGATGTGTTCAGTTATTAGTATTTTATCATAGATAATAAAATTTTTGAAAAATGTTTTTATATATGAAAGGAATTCACATGTTGTGTCCTCTTTATTGACACGTTCATGGTCAATGTCATCAAATATGCAAACGCACTCATAAACAAAGCTATTTCTTTGCTTCATAGAACAAAACAATTATGTTGGCAATAAATACAGCCAATGACCCTTTATATTGTGAAGAGGCAGCTCTGTTTTTTTCAGGGCTGTCAATCTACATCTCCTTATTAATGCTGCTTTCATATATTCAACTCTTAATTCAGCTCCACCTCATTTCACTTACCCTTTGAAATTCAATTTAATGGAATTTTTATGAATATATTTTTTGTCTTTTAAAAAATAAATTTTATGTTCAACAAGAAATTCCAAGTAAGTTGAAAGTGCATTTCAGGGAAGATGCAGCTTCCATTAAGCATCAGATAGGACAAAGTTAAATTACATATAAAATTACAGCACAATGGTTTCAGGTTTGCAATCCATTATTGTCTTACATGTCCTTTATAAAGACATTCTCAAATACATGAAAAGCTATCCATTTTATTTTTATTTTACGTAACCAGCTTCATTACCCAAAGGAACAGCCTCCTGTGGCACTCTGAGTTTTCTTTGAACTGCAATATGTTACACAGCCATCTGCTTTTGCAGGAAAAGTGTTGAGAGTTAATACATTTTTAAAAAGAATTCCTGCCCAGTGAATACACTTGTCTATACCATCCCTCTCCCATCCATCAGAGATTCTCTGCAGTGTGGCACAACTTATTTCCCAGCTTCTGCCTGTGCTAAACATATTTACAGATATAGTTCTCTTGGGAGTTTCCTCTCATGACATTTTATTTGGGTTCTTTTCTTTCTTTAAAAACAACAACAACAACCAAACAAACAAAACCCCAAACAAACAAACACAAAACCAAAAAACTAACCAAACAAACAAAAAAATCCCCACACCACATTATATTTTTGAGCATATAGCACGATGCCATATATCACCATCCCATCAACATCACATGTCTTGGAAAAACAAGCAAAGGATTTATTCTGGAAGACTTAATGTCCGGGACTTAACTGAAATATTAGATCCATAGGCTTATAAATATACTAAGTACAGTAATTACACTTAATAAAGAGTTATTGAGGAAACAATTTTTTCTGGTGAGAAATTCAAAGATGTAATCCACAGTCAGAGTTCATGGAGCCATACAAATCCTTTCTTTGCTTGTGAACCTAGATAATAAGTTTGTTTCTCTCCACACCAGGTGGTCCTACTCATTAAACTATTCATGGTCCAATTCCCATTCTTCCTCCAGAAAATTCTTAGTGCCACTCTTTAACCTTAATCCCAGCCATTTGCCTCCCACCCATTACAAATACAGGTATGGAGTTTCATGCTTTTCATGCTTCTGTTGTGTCAATGAATTTAGGCTTTGGATACAGATACAACTGCATTTAGTATTTCTTTTAGCAGTTAAATGATTTATATACTATAAAATTGCGTAGAAACTGGGGAATGAGATGCTGGAAAGCAGTGCCACTGAAAGGGACCTGGGGGTCCTCGTTGACGGCAAGCTGAACATGAGTCAGCAGTGCCCTGGCAGTCAGGAGGGCCAGCTGTGTCCTGAGGGGCATTAGGCAAAGCATTGCCAGCTGGTTAAGGGAGGTGATTGTGCTGCTCTGCTCTGGTGCAACACTTTGAATATTGTGTGCAGTTTTGGGCACCACAATATAAAAACAATATAAAGCTATTGAGAGCAGCCAAAGGAGGGCTATGAAGATGGTGAAAGGTCTACATGGGACTCCATAAGAGGAGTGGCTGAGGTCATTTGGTCTGTTCAACCTGAAGAAGAGGAGACTGAGGGGAGATCTCATTGCAGTCTACAGCTTTCCAACGACAGGAAGCAGAGGGGCAGACATTGATCTGTGGTGACCAGTGACAGGACCAGAGGGAATGGCATGAAGCTGAATCAGGTGTGGTTCAGGCTAGATATAAGAAAAAGGTTTTTCACCTAGAGGGTTGTTGGACATTAGAACAGGCTCCCCAGGGAAGTGGTCACAGCACCAAGCCTGAGAGAGTTCGAGAAGCATTTGGACAATTCTCTCAGGCACACTGTGTGATTCTTGATGTGGTCCTGTGCAGGGCCAGGAGTTGGACTTTCCCTTCCAACTCAGCATATCCTATGATTCTGTGAAAATAATTTTTTCTGTCACTATTTACAGAATCATAGAGTGTTAAGGGGTTGGAATGGACCTTAAAGATCATCCCTTAGAGATATCCCTAAAGATAGTCTCAACGCCTCCTGTTGTATGTAAAGATACCTCCTACTAGACCAGGTGGCTTTGAACACTGTCAGGGTTGAGGCTTCCACAATTTAGTACAAGATCAGCTGTTTCAGTTTCAAGCATCCCGCACAACGAACTGCCACTGCCACTGCATTTATAATGGATATTACATAAGTTGACATAATACAGCTATTATCAGTTTTCTTTGGAGTGTCACCAGTTTTACAAAGAAAACAGACATAAATCATTACTGATCAGTTTCAAAATATATTAACTAGCACATTCTTAAGAATGAGTGTTTTTTTCTATTAATAGTTTCTATGTTACAATGCCTTTCTTAAAATGCTAGGAAAACACATATTTGAAAGATATTTGAAGATAAAGTCCTTAGTTTACTACTGCATGTGCTCTGAACTTCTGTGTTTCTGTATTCCACTTGAATCCAATGGTCCTGACAAAATGTACACTTGTCTTATAGGCAAGAAGTCATACATCTTTTCACAAAAGAGATAAAGACAAAAGGGAATGGTAGAACATTGTAAGTCTTGCCAATTCATATGAGGTATTAGTGGGATCATCTTTAAAGAGCAGATGATCATCCTCGCTTAGTCTTATTTAATCCCTGGAAAAGTCAGGATTTGGAAACACTCACATTCAAGTCTTTTCACTGAAGTCTGATCACAGACAGCAGATAGTTTCAGTCATTAATGACTTGGCTTGGTTTAAAAACAAATTCCAGATAACAAAATCACTTCAAAGCTACATGGCAAAAGCGTGTATCTCAATGCAGAAGTTAAGCTTATATTTAAAGGTCCTCATTCTTATTTAAGCATCTACTAACTATCCAGAAACTTAACAGAAACTTCAAAATAATTCTATGTTTTATTTATCAATGTCTACAGTTCTTTATCAGTTTCTATAGGACAGTGTTGTCATTAGAGGAAATAGACTTGTTCTTGATATAATTGAAGAAAGCAAGTAAGAAGCATTTTTCAAGGATTTTAGTTAACCTACATTACTAGAGGTATTTACATTTTAAACAGACTTGAGTTTCCCAAGTTTCAAAAACTAACCTTGTCTAATCAAAAAATAACATTTTTTTTTAAAACACTTCTGTTTATAAACCATGTCCTTTTTTTTCTTGTATGTAGTGAATACTTTAAAATTATTTGCAAGTTTCTTTCATCACTGAATACAATATTTAAGTTAGATAATTTAAGCACTATCCAGTCTTACTTGCCCATAAAACTATCATAAGCATATTAAAGCATAACCATATAAAAATGGCTTATCTAAAAATTAATGTCAAAGTAGTTTTCTGTTTAGTGCCAATGTCCTTTCATACACATAAAAGGAAGACTGAGCTCTCCCAGAAGACTATGAACTCACTGCACTTCTCTGTAATACAAACACAAACACACGTATACAAGGCGCAGATAGTAAGAGCTGTCAACTTCCATTCATTAATTTAAAAGTTGTTGGCTTCCAGTCATTAATTTACAATTATGTAAATTACTTTCTCCAAAGTACTGCATCCAGCACTTCCATCTCACTTGAAGGGGTAGAGAAGGTTTAATTTCCTAACTATTGTGCCTTTTACCTAAGTGAGCAAATTTTAATATCATAAAGTCTTTTGTTTCAGTGAGACGGTTACTTTTCTGCTAGAGGCACAACAGCTTTGTCTTATTCTTTCCTTACTTTTACCAATTAAGTTTATATGCTTCATACTTCCACAAGTATGAAATCCATCCAATATAGACTTTACTCAACCCCTGTGAAAAGTCCGCCCTTGATCTGAGAAGACTGACTCATGCTGGGTATGCCTTGTAAAACAACTAGAGCTAAATACCTTACCCAGTTTCCAGTAGTTTTATATTATTTGTGGAATTATTACTATTCCTTATGTGTTTCACATACCCTGCTTGCTGCTGTAGAAGATAAGCCAATGCCCCACAGAGTTCAGCTGCCTAATGTTTATCTCTTATATTTGTAGCCGTGCAGAAATTGTGTGAACAATTTGTATTGCATTTCTGAGACCTTTACCTTGGCACAGCTGGGTGCAGATAGTAAAAAATACTGCGCCACTAATATGGCTGCAGGCCTTGTGCCAAGGTGAAGGAGGAGTTTTCTTGGAAGGTGAACAAGTTTTATGGACACCTGCTGTGGACCAATTAGTCCTGGACAACGCAGTATGTTTTCCTTATGTATCCAATGTATCCCGAGAAAGAATCACATGTCTGTGTGTGTAATTAGCAGTATATAAGCTGTCTCTTCTCTAATAAAGCGGACATTTTGCTAACCACATTGGTTTAGGGCACTTTGTCCATGCCTCTCCACCAATATATATTGATAGCCCTTGTCTGTTTAGTTACATCAGAATGGATCAACTATTTCAGATGCAAACAGGAATGAAGGTAAAGTTTTACTATTTTTGGTCGTAGCTACATGTGGAGAACGAATAATTCTCATCTTTGGCCTTGCTGCTTTCCAACAAAATTTTTCATTAACTCAAATGTATTACTTGACAATTCCTCTTACATAATAGACTACGGACTCACATTTGGATGAAGAGGCACTATGAAAAGATGTCAGTATTTGCCATGAAATTATTGTAGTTAGTTAGTTAGGTATTTGTATTATTTCATTGAGAAGGAAAATAATTTCTAAGAGTTTCTTAACTAAAATTTGCAGAGTAGAAAACTTTCAGTTTCAAACATGTGAAAAATATAAAGAGACATTTTTCATTTCCCTGTGGATATTAACAATACTTCCCTAATCAGAAAGTTGTATACTTCATGAAGATTAAAAAAAAACTCTATTAAATTCAAAAATTTGAAAATCTGGAAGTTTCCATATGTTCCTATCAATTATCAAGCTCATATTATGTGCAATTTTAAAGTCTACCATGAGGTTTGTAAAGTTTTACTGTAAATTTTTATTCTAAATGATTCATCCTCTATCTGAAATAAGAATCAAACCTCTTCTGTGTTGGCAGATACTAGGGTCCTCCCTCTGGCTTAGGAAATACTTGGAGTTATAGAAATAGTTAATAAGAAATTATAGTTTTTTCCCAAGAACAATTCAGGGTTGGAGCAGAGGTGATATGATTGATGCTTTCCAGGAAAAATGTTTGTTGTTCTACTTTTAGGTGGAAAGAAGTTGCATTCTTTATATAGTCCTCTACAAATCTGTATCTAAAACTCAGCAATTAGAACTCTTATTTCTCTCAAGGTGTTTTCTTTCTGACAGTTGATAACTGGAAATGAACATTAAGTAAAAAAAGAAAGAAAAAATCCCTTCACACAAGCTTGTACCACTGACAGTAACGTTCTGACACAGATACGAATGATATTTAAGTTGGTATAATTGATGCACAGTAACAACTTCAGAAACTATTAATGATAATGGTAAATGGTAAATGACAAATGAAAAGGTAGAATCATTAATTTAATATCATTGGAGATTGCAGTTCATTTAATGCATTTCTCGCTGATAAGCTATCAAGGCAGGCAAGCTATGAATGTGTGAATTCTTGTCCTCTTTTAATAAATGTATAAAGAAATGATTGAAATAAATATTGCAGGAAGGCCCGTGACTTTAGATACCTTTAGTAAATACACATGATCAACATAATCTTATGTTTTCTGTTGAGAATTAGCATTTGTTTGCACATCATACAACCTCACATCTCAAACATACTTTTTGTCAGAGGGTGGCCATTCTTTATATCCAAACCACTTCCATCCAATTGGGCAAACTACCACTACATTACATAGAACTTCTTAGACTGTCAGTTGGAGACACATGACATGTACATTGCAGACCATTTATGGTATGTCCTACAAGAAAGAAAGGATATTCATTTTTTTTTTCAGTTTAAAAAAAAAAGAAAAAAAAAAGAAACTTTTAAAAGGAAGTCTGTCACATGGCTGAAATAGATCCCTAGAATGAGTCCCTATTGAATTAATTCAGTGTTGGTGTTTTATTTTGTTCTCATCATTGTTTGGGGTTTTTTTGTTTTTGTTTTTTTTTTTTAATTAATTTATGGTATTTTTTTAAATGTAAAAATTTTTAGTTGGTCAGAGGCAAGTCTACAGTGTAGTTTCAGCATGCCATGAGGTATATTTGTTTAAATACTGTATGTATTTATCCATAGTAGATGATCAGTAATATTCAGCACTGCTGCAGACAAAAATGTTAGCATGTTAACAAAGAAGTTATTTTTTTTAATGGAAACAAAAATGTTTTAGTGGGTTTTGGTGTTCCTTGTTCTTTAAAACAGATTATTATTGTCTTTTTTTTTTTCTCTGGGAAGACAGCTTTCATTGAACAGCTCCTTAACTCTGTGGAGTTTTTTTAGGAGTACTATAACAAAAGAACATCTGTGAAAGAGAGCTCACTGTTTTGCAGAGGAACCATTCAACTTCGTTGGTGGGGCTCTGAAGATTTAATTTACCAGTTAAATTTGATGACACTAGAAGACACTGTAAATTGAAGTGATAAAGTCTTTAAAATTCTGATTGCTTTTCAAGTTTTAAAATTTATGGAAATAAAAAGGAGATTTTCAACATACAGCTAGATAAAGCCTTGAGCAATCCGATCCAAGTTCACCAGCTCTTAGCAGCAGGTTGGACTGTCTGGCCTCAAGTTCCATTTTGGTCTCTCTTTTTCAATGTTTGGGTTCCAAATATTTAAAAACTCATCCTTTCATAGCCTTGAAGATTTTAACCATTTTCCAACAAATTATATTTTCTAGTAAATCTGAAATTTTAATTAAATGTTCTGAAGCTATGCTCACTTTGTATACAGCAAATAGTTAAAAGAAAAGGTATCATTAATTCTTACTTTGACAACATAATTTAATCTAATTTAGTTCAATTTAGAACAATAGTGTGGAAATTCTGACATTATGCTGATGCCTGCTGA